GAATCCCACTCTGGGAATGTTCAGGAAAGGTCGGTGCCACACCCAGAATATATAACCAGATATATGTTGGCAGAGGAAATGGGGAAGTTGCAGGAAACTCTGACATCTATCATGGGAATACCGGCTAGGGTGGAAACGAAAAGAGTGGAAGTTCATCCCTCTGTTCTAGTCACCCATAATAAGGAAGGGGATATTAAGATGTTTTTGGCATGTAAACCACCAACCTTTTCTGGGGAGAGAGATCCAGTGAAAGCTATGTGTTGGATCAAGGAGATGGAATCTGTGTTCAACACCATTCGGTGTCCGAAAATAGATAAAGTTCGATTTGTTGTTTATGTATTAAAGTCAAATGTTTTATTCTGGTGGAAAGTTGAATCGTCAGCCAGAATAGATGTTTTACAGACTTTGTCATGGGTAGAATTTGTGGAACAATTCAAGAATCAATTTTTCCCTAAAACAGCAGTAAGACAAATGGAGGAAGATTTCCTGAAACTAGAACAAGGAAATGGAACAGTTCAGGAGTATACTGAAAGATTCATTGAATACTCTCGTTTTGCTGAACACTATGTTTCGACCGAACCCAGGAAGATAGAAAGGTATATTTGGGGTTTGAAACCCTCAATTAGAGAATTTGTAATTGCCATGAACCCCACCACTTTTTCATTGACAGTAGACGCAGCCAAAGTAACCGAATGAAATAAGAACCGACAACCAGAAGGAAAGGTTGTAAAGAAGAGAAAATGGGAAGGGCCTTCATCTTTTTGAGGACCGAAAACTGTAAGATATGATAACAGATTTGAGCAGAAGAGCAGTGAGAAAATCTGTTCACAGTGCCGACAGGTTCATCAGGGTGAATGCAAGATGGACCCAAGGAAATGTTATAAGTGCGACGAAGCAGGTCATCTGTCTAGAAACTGCCCAGCTAACAAAAGGTGTTTTAATTGCAATTCTCCGGATCATATTCGACCGAATTGTCCCTTGTTAAGAACTCCACAGTTAACGATGGGGAGTAACGCGTCGGGCACTCAGGGAAGGCCTACTGTGAACAAAGGAGGGCAAGGAGGGGCGCGGGGACGGTCTTTCCAAATGACTAAGAACGAGGCAGAAGCATCGCCGGATGTAGTAACAGATACATTTCTTCTGAATTCAATACGTGCTAAGGTGTTATTTGATTCTGGTGCAAACTTTTCATTTGTATCACCATTGTTTGCTCAAACTGCATGTCTGGATTCTGTGATACTTAATGATGAGTTAGTAGTTGATACTGCTAATAGTCAGGAAACTGTTACTAGTGTATTCAATAACT